GTTCTGGGGCCCTGCAGCTTTATTAAAAGCTACAATTCCGCCGGGCTTGACACGGTCTCTTATCCTCAGTCATAGAATCAATACGGGCAAGGCAAGACTAGATTGGCGCTTGCCTTCGTTCTCTTTCTCTCCCTTTCCCAACCAGCCCGGCCGCATCCCAGTCCTCCTGTCTGAAATGCCGGTGTGGAAGGCGGGAGTCTGGCCGTTTGAAGTCCGAGCGACCAGAGGCTCATTGGCAGCTTTGCTCGAGGCAGAGAGAGAGCAGGCCTGTTACATAATTAACGAGCGAGAGAGGAGAAAAGACGGTAAGATAGCCCCCTCCCCCGTCCGTTCCGCCAGTCAGCGCTGGCAGATCGGAGCGGGGGAGGGGAATCCAGAGAGCCGTGACAGGATCGAGAGGTGAGCGAACGCCGGTATGTGTTCGCTCACCTCTCGATCTACTGAGTCGACCTGTCATAGTCCCATTGTCACAGGTCGGCTAGAACTACGAGGTGAGTAGCCTTATTTACGGCTGAACTCCAGGCAAACAACATGAAATACATACAATGGAGCTGGTTTACCTGCCAGAGGATTTGTAATGCTGTCCGTCCAGTTGGTGAGATGCACACAGCTCTGTCACACAGCACAGCCCTGTCTGGCCGAGCAGGAGACCTGATTTATCTCTGCTGCAGTTTCAGTAACACTTACACTTTTCCCACCCAAACCTGTGATTGGACAGTGAAAGGAGAAGTAGCAGACTGATGAGCTCATCTCTCTGTCACTCTGCTCTCTCATTCCATCAGCACGTCCTTTGTTAGCATTGAAGCCCAACTAATCGGCTCCATGTTCTGCTTCTACTTACCCAGCCTGGGTAATCACAGGGCCCCATAGCAAAATCTTGTATCTGTGATTTCTAGATAAGTCCACCTGATAACCCAAACAGCCCACCCGAGGTTGACCCTGCAGAGCCCACCATAGACTCTCTATGGTGAGCTCTGCAGGGTCTCAGGTGGGCGGTCAAGCCCTCTTACCTGTCTGTCTGATCCTCTGTCTGTCTCCTTCTCCTCCTCCGTCACTGGGCCCCACCTCCTCGATCGTCAGGCCCGCCTCCCCATCGCTAAGACCTTCCTCCTCGATCGCAAAGACCCGCCTCCTCCATCGCTGCTGACGACGGGCCCAGCCACCTCCCCTGAAGCTGCTGGTTGCCGTCGACTCAGCAGCTGTGAGGAGGTACACGCCGCTGCACATGTGAATGGCTGCGTGTTTCTTCTCACAGCCGCCAGCCTGAAATGCCATAGCAACCCAGGCGGCCTGCACGGCATCAGGGGGATGTCCTTGCCGGGCCCCCCTGAGCAAAATTTTGTATGGGGCCCTGTGGTTTCTAGTTACACCCCTTGCAGTGCCCACTTGATATCCCACTCAGCCCACCTGAGGGTGACCCTGCAGAGCCCACCATAGACTCTCTATGTTGGGCACTGCAGGGTCTCAGGTGGGCTAGTCACACTCCTTAGCTGTCCGCCTCCTCTTCCTCCAAGGTCGCTGATGGGCCCCGTCTCCTCCTCCGTCACCGGGCCCCGCCGCCTCCTCTGCTGCCTACCCCAGGCCCCGCCTCCTCCTCCACTGCCGGGTCCAGCCTCCTCCATAACTGCTGCTGGCTCTCACTGACTCAGCAAGGGCTGTGGAGAGGAACACAGCGCTGCGCAGATCACTGTCGGTGATCTCAACAGTGGCATGTTCCTCTCCACAGCCCTTGCTGAGTCAGTGACAGAAAGCAGCATGAGATGCCATAGCGACCCAAGCGGCCATCAGGGATGTCCTAGCCTGGCCCCCCTGTGCCCCGTGTCCCCATAGTGGCCGCCTGGGTCGCTATGGTGATTGTTATGCCACTGGCTCTGCTGTACAAGAGTCTGAGACCAAGTCACATTCAGGTACTTACACTGCTTGCATTATTTTTAAATGCATTGAATGATGTAATCATTAATGCAGAGCCAAATTAATCTGTGCCTTTTATATCTGGCCGCTCACCGAATTCCCGCTGGGATAGTTTATTGCAGCTCGTACCACATCACCGGTGTCCCGCCCAAGCTCCACCCTCACTGACGCGTTTCAACCAATCACAGGCATAGTCGTAGAGATGAGTTTATATTAACTTTATTACAACACCCTCTAAAAGAGCGAAATACAAACTGGTCCGCACCTACCTTCTTCCCGGGAGATCTGCATGAAGGACTCCACCCCCTTCTCCCCGTAGCTTCCCTCCGATGCCAGGGTGGAGACGTAGTTCCATCCCATCGCCTTCACAATGTCCACCATGGCCTGGGCCTGGAAGGAGTCCGGCGGGACCACTCTGGAGAAGAAATCGTACCGGCGGTCGTCGCTCAGCTCTGGAGCCGTGGAGCCGTAACTCACCTGCGGGATCTGCAAGGAGAACGAAGATGTAAAATGACTGAAAGGCACCAAAACTGGAGAAGTACAACGTGTGCATAGCGGATATAATGGCACAATGTACACACAGAAACAATGTGTCAGAGATCAGATATCCGCATTGTTCATATCTCCATAAAGTTTGTTACAATCATAAATATATTCCTAAAAATAAAAAAAAAGACAATCAGCTTTATACAGGATTACATTAGACCCGGCCCACGTTGTAGATCTCTCGCTGTTGTCTGCTGCGGAATGGAATTTCTCAACCTTCTTACTGAGGAGGAACCCCTACAATAATGTTCAGGTCCCAGGGAACCTCTTCATCTACAGATCACATGACATTAGCCACACCGCATTGGTGTCTGTGAGAGAAGGATTCCCTTATACTGGTGGTCAGTGGGAAGAATGCTTCTTACATTTGTGGTCAGTGGGTAGAATGCTCCTTACATTGGCGGTCAGAAGGAAGAATGCTCCTTACATTGGGGGTCAGTGGGAAGAATGTCCCTTACATTGGAGGTCAGTGGGAAGAATGCCCCTTACATTGGAGGTCAGTGGGAAGAATGCCCCTTACATTGGAGGTCAGTGGGAAGAATGCCCCTTACATTGGAGGTCAGTGGGAAGAATGCCCCTTACATTGGAGGTCAGTGGGAAGAATGCCCCTTACATTGGAGGTCAGTGGGAAGAATGCCCCTTACATTGGAGGTCAGTGGGAAGAATGCCCCTTACATTGGAGGTCAGTGGGAAGAATGCCCCTTACATTGGAGGTCAGTGGGAAGAATGCCCCTTACATTGGAGGTCAGTGGGAAGAATGCCCCTTACATTGGAGGTCAGTGGGAAGAATGCCCCTTACATTGGAGGTCAGTGGGAAGAATGCCCCTTAGATTGGTGGTCAGTGGGAAGAATGCTCCTTACATTGGGGGTCAGTGGGAAGAATGCCCCTTACACTGGTTGTCAGTGGGAAGAATGTCCCTTAGATTGGTGGTCAGTGGGAAGAATGTCCCTTACACTGGTTGTCAGTGGGAAGAATGTCCCTTAGATTGGGGGTCAGTGGGAAGAATGCTCCTTATACTGGTGGTAAGTGGGAAGAATGTCCCTTACATTGGTGGTCAGTGGGAAGAATGCTCCTTACATTGGGAGTCAGTGGGAAGAATGCTCCTTACATTGGTGCCCTGAGGAATGCCATTAAGCCATCGCTTCTGAAACAGTTGTCACCCACTGGCAGGAAGTGCCCAAACAAAGACCTACACGGCAGGATCACAAGGGATTAAGGTTGGGCTTGTATGAGATTCTAATGATTGGGTTGAGATCTCCTTTATCTGCCAATGAGCTGTGTATGATGGGGGGTGGGGTCTGTCTGGGAGGTATTGGACATTCTTCCTAGACAAATATTTACTGTCATGCTGGAAAAGGGGGCCCCTGAATATTCCCTGTCTGATCAGTTCATCAGTTTATACCATTGGTTCTCAACTGGTGGGCCATGACCCAAAAGTGGGTCGCGACCCCACGTTCAGCGTGTCGCCGCGTGTCTTCCACTTTTCTAGGTGAGAGGCTCCTCAGCCTCCCCCTAGTGCAGCACGGTCAGTTCTCGCACCAAGCATCCATTCATATGCTGTGCGCGGTGGGCCGGAGCTATGGCCGCAAAGGAGCTCCATCCATACGTGCATTGCTTACAGCTTCCTCACATCATGTAGAGGTGCCTGGACAGGAGTGACGTCACATTCTGGCTCCCGGCACCTCTACAAGGCATGCGAGGGAGCTGTACAAGCAATGCACATATGGATGGAGCTCCGTTACAGCACAGCAGCCACACACTGGACCCCAGGCTGAGGATCCACTCCAGTTCTCGTAAGGTAGAGAGACTGGGTGGATCTTAAAAGAGATAAAAACATTTTTTGGAGTGTATGTGTGTGAGATTGTGTCTGTGGTTGTTTGTGTGTCTGTGGTTGTGTGTGTCTGTGGTTGTGTGTGTGTCTGTGGTTGTGTGTGTGGTTGTGTGTGTGTCTGTGGTTGTGTGTGTGGTTGTGTGTGTGTCTGTGGTTGTGTGTGTGTCTGTGGTTGTATGTCTGTGGTTGTGTGTGTGTGTCTGTGGTTGTGTGTCTGTGGTTGTGTGTGTGTCTGTGGTTGTGTGTCTGTGGTTTTGTGTGTCTGTGGTTGTGTGTTTGAGGGCTCGTTCACACTAGTACAGTGCTTTAATCGAACAGCCATGTGCGATTAATGCACTGTACCATGCAATCACACCTACTACGCACTCTATTGTGGGAGATGCGTTGTGTTGTCATTAATTTGAACGGCACCCCAAACGCACCTCCTGCCCACAGTTCAATCGGCCACACCGTAAAGCGCGGTACCGCAATGCCTGTGCGTTCCATTGCAGTTTGACTTGGGTCAGAACTATGAGCTGAGTGCTTTTCACTCACCTCATAGTTCTAGCAGACCTGTGACAATGAGACTGTCACAGGTCGGCTCAGTAGATCGGGAGGTGAGCGGACACATACCGGCGTTCGCTCACCTCTCGATCCTGTCACGAACGCCTTGTTTGCCTCGCGGCAGATACGCCCCTGGTCTCAGTATATCGCAGCTGCTCGCGTTATACTGCGGCGTCTCAGTACCGCGAGCTGTAGCTCCCTATATACTGAGCCTAGGGTGACGGGAGGACGCTAGTTTGTGTGCTCCCGTTACCCTAAGGAGAACTATGAGGAAAAGCCCCGACCCCATAGTGATCCTTTAATGACTGAGGACAAATGTGGGTCCTGAGGTTACACAGGTTGAGAACCACTGGGCTATACTATCATGTCCAGCATTTATCCGGGGCCCGGTGCAACCTTTGCCGGAGCCGCCACGTCTACAGAGCATTTTGCAAGACAGCAGCACAAATTACCTTTTTGGAAGGATTCCCTCCACTCTGCCTGACTCAGATTGTTACTTTTTTTTTGGGGGGTGGGGATGACACATTGTATCCGGCTCTTGCTTCACATAATGAGAAAAGTGTTACCATTACCTCTTGATGCCACTTCTGGAGCCTCTGAATTATGCATGCTGTGACACTGCGCTCACTTTTAGCGGCTGATAATGAATGCTAATATACCGCCACACGCTGCCCTCGAACACTCTTTGCTGATCTTCTTCACCCTCCTCCAGGTTAACCCTTACGGTGCCAAAGCAGCCTGAAACCAACCCAAATAACCAACAGGAGGGAATCGGATGACCGGGTTTTGGCTGTCACTCTGGATCAGAAGACATCAGAGTGCTGACATTTGTACGGGTCAAGCATGCCGGTGAATATTCAGCCAATGCTCTTCTATTATAAGGAGGAACGCAGCGGATTGGTTCACGCAGCACCATATATATTGTATATCTATTATGTCATCAATCTGATTGAATTCTACTATCATGGATGAGGCGGCAGGATTGTTGTTTAGGAGACTGTTCATAAGAGGCAGGTGGCAGTGGTGTCCCACATACACCCTGGGCACCACTTTAAGGGGGGGCACCGTTCCGTGGGTCAGTGAAAGTTCGCTGACCTACTGAGACAGCTGACTTTTTTTTCCCTTCCACCCCTCTCCCCGCTTGGCTGAGAGCAATCGGGGACGCTCTAGCCGCTGTGCCACCCAGGTCCTGCCAACCAGTGACTGGTTGCTTCCTCTGATGTCACTGCACACTGGGAGCTTCTCACAATGTGCATTAGAAACTGCAGCAAGTCAGATAGAGCCCGCCTCATTTTCCGGCTGCTGGACATCCAGCATGGTCTAGCCCAGTGGTGGCGAACCTTGGCACTCCAGCTGTGCCAAAACTACAAATCCCAAGATGCATCTGCCTCTGGGAGTTGTGGCTGTCAGAGCCTTGCACTGCCTCATGGGACTTGTAGTTCCACAACAGCTGGAGTGCCAAGGTTTGCCATCACTGGTCTAGCCCTTTCTTCCCTAGCCCGAGTGTCCCTGACCCCACCCTTTTTCATTCATTGGATTCCAGTTTTTCCAATGTGTGGGCGTTACCTAAGGCAACCTGCATGCAAATACAGCCTGCCTAGGAACGCCCACTCCCCCAGACTGACACCCACCCACCGAGGCATTTTAATATTTGCATAACTCCTCCCAAGAGCAGGCCCACTGCTTGCATCAGGGCTGAGGGTTGTGATGTTTTCAGGAAGCTATGTACAGCCCCCCTGCCAGGCCCCTCCCACAAGCCACAATCTGCCTGCATTGCATAGGGAAACACAGAGAACACAGAGCGCGGGAATAAAACAACTCGCCTTCAGGCACAAACACAGCAACGTTTTTCAGGCGCACATAAAAAAAATCTCCATAATGCCATCGATAATGCTTCTCTATTGCATTCTATGATGCATTGTTATGGCGTCTCAATGTATTTCCCCAAATCTACATATTGTGTTGTATTATATGATTTTGATTGGCCCTTCCAGACTCACGGCGCAATAAAAACGCAGCCAAACACCCTTCAGATGCAGAATAAACACTTTTTAAAGTGTGTCTTTGATGGATATTTATTGCTCTGTTGAGCTAATGCCTAAAAAAAAAGAAAAAAACTGAACATTGTTGGTTAAAAAAAAGAGTCAACGCGATACAAAGTAAAAACCGCACACGTACTCATTCACACAAACGAAAAAATGGAGGAGAGTTTTCATTCCATTTACACGTGTCTTGATTGTAAAGCATAAAACCAAGAAATAATGTCACCAGCACACCATAGTAGTAAAGCAATAGTCCATTTAAAGGAGAACTATGGGGTTAAGGCTTTTCCGCATAGTTCTCCTTAGGGTAACCGGATGACACAAACTAGCGTCCTCCCGTCACTCTAGGCTCAGTATACCGCGAGCTACAGCTCGCGGTATACTGAGACGCCGCAGCCGGAGCGGATCCCGACATCGATGTCGAGATCCTCCCAGCTGCGTGAGTGACAGCTGGCTCTGCCTATCCAGATAGGCAGAGCCAGCTGTACCCGCCCCTCCCCCGTCCGTTCCGCCAGTCAGCGCT